TTTTTGAAAAAATGGCATTTTTGTAAAGATTTTAAAAGTGTAGTTTTTTTTGAAATTTCTCATCATTTTTTACGTTCATACACGTATAAATATTAAATTCGATTAAAAACATAATTATTTAATCTCACGCTTGGCATGGATCAAAATCTAGTAACATCATAATTTTAGGGAAAAAAAAATTATATAACCAACCAAGTTTAGTTGTTTACATGCGTAAGAGGCTTATCATGCAGAGGAGCGTTATGAGATGTTCTTTAGCGAAAATGCGTGTTTCAAATAGAATCTAAATCCTCCAACAAATTGATCCAGTAATGAAAAATGATTTTCTTATCGTACAATATAGCAGACCACGAAGAATAGAAACGTATGTAACTCGCACGTAAAAGTCATATTATAGATTTGTTTAAAATATTATTTTTAGTGCGCAAAGGTGTTCCTGCGTTCCAAATATTTCAATATTCATCTTTAGTGCACATCACAATCTTTCTCACATTATTACCTAAAGATTTGAAATTAGGATATATCTTAAAAAAATCTATGAACATTTTATGTAAAAGAGGTGGTACATATACAACAGGTGAATGACTCACCTTGAAATTTACAATTGCTAATGATCCTGAAGCTCCTTTACTTCCAAAGAGGGACCGAGGTCTTGCCATCTTCTTGAATAAACTTTGAACTCCAACTTAGAAATCTGCATTGAAACATGATGTTTTATTAATGCTTTAAATTATAAATTTCAGAAACCTTTCATTGAACATGCAAATCATAATTATTTGTGAAAACTTATATGATCCTAATTTATATTTACAAAGCAGTTAAGATGCACGCTATATAAATTCATAATGAAAAGAGGATTAGTCGATAGAGAATGAAAACTGAGAACAATTAACTTTTGTTGGTCCCTTCAACATATATGGACATGGTAGTGGAGAGCATATATACACTTTTTCGTTTCCTCTAATCTTAAATTCCAACGTGAAATAATTGCATCAGAAAATTAGAGGAGAAGTTCAACGTGGTTCCGTGGACTAATGAAAAGCGACGAATCAAAGGGAAACAAATGGTTACCAGCTAGATCAGAAGTTCGACGTCATTCCTTCTTCTCCAACTACTTTTCTTTCATCATTCCATTCATTTCTTTTGATTCTTCTAAAACTGTTGTTGTGATTCTC